CGCCATGTTTTCGGAAATTGCACAAAATGTTTTGTCAAGTTTTTATTTTTACTTATAGCAGTTATAAAATTCAGTAATATAAAGTATTTTAAAACTTGCTCGCCGATGTGGCATGGCAAAAAATGATCTAACGTTTTCTATATTTCTTTCGCGACACGAAAATGGTTTGTCAATACAGCCTTGTGTCGTGGCAGGTAAAGTGGGGAGCCCGACGCGGGAGGTTGTACTCGTCTCTGTTTGTTTGTTTTTTTAATTTCGCGCAAAGCTACACGAAGGCTATCTGCGCTAGCCGTCCCTAACTTAGCAGTGTAAGACTAGAGGGAAGGCAGCTAGTCATCACCACCCACCGCCAACTCTTGGGCTACTCTTTTACCAACGAATAGTGGGATTGACTGACACTTTATAACGCCCCCACGGCTGAAAGGGCGAGCATGTTTGGTATGCGGATTAGAACCCGCGACCCTCAGATTGTGAGTCGAGCGCCTTATCCACCTGGCCATGCCGGGCCCGGTTGTAAAAAAAGGAAAGGCTAAACACATGCAGCTAATTTAAAGCATTGGATTGAGAATAACATATTTAATTATTTTTATTGCATTCTATTTTTATTCTATTATAAATGATCTATTATAAATGTCATTAGTTTCAAGGCATATAAACAGCAGGGATAAGATTCAAATCTTAAACGAATAGTAATTAATTACGCAACTCTTATCGATCTTTTAAAATAAAATATATAGAATGGAAAAATTAATAATTAACATTTATTTGTTATTCCATACTACAAGGTGGAGGGCTTGACATCAAAAGTATTATCGGAAAGACGAATCAGATCATGAGATCTTGCCAATGGTATGTGTGTGTTCCAAAGTCAACTCAATCTATGGAAAAACTCTTTGCAATATTATAGTTTATGTCTGAAGAATTTTATAAAGTACTTTTTTTTTATTTTAGATGTAATGGTTCCACCCAAACTAATATACATTCACTATCCATTTAGTTAATTATGACGAAATCCATTTATACTGAAATCAAAGGTTAACAATCACCTTTCCATAACAGCAAGTAACTACGTTTTCTTTTTTTTTCTGTTATTGACACAAAGGCCTGACAACCTGAAATTTTGCATGTTATTGTTACGACAGCGGAAGTCACGTGACTCTGGAAGAATGCGCGCTGGAGTTTCTAGAAGGATCATGACTGTCCCTGGCAACTCTAGTCTTTTCTAGGCGCCCTATATTTTAGTATATAAGCCCGGCAAATAAAGCGGAGATAATAATTGGAGATAGATGGAAATAGAAACAGATAATTGAGTCAAATGAGCGGTAGTGACCATATGTAAAGTGTGTGAATCGTTGTGAATTAGAGCGTGTGTTGAAGTTAAAGTAACTGTGGTAATTCTGTGTATTATAAAGTTGTATCGAGAAATAATAAACTAGTTTTAGTTAAGAAAGGAACTTGTATCGCTGAAGTTTCTAGGAAATAATTTTTACGGGAAATTATCAAACAAGCAGATACTTAACAAATTGGTGTCAGAGAGTGGGACGGAAAAAAACGGGAGGTGGCAAGTCAAACTACAGCTTAGAAGATTTAATGGTAGCAGTACAAGAACAGCAAAAGAAACAAGAAGAGAGAATGAAAACTTTTTTTTTGGAGAAAAAAGGAAGAAACGAGAAGAACGAGAAAATAAACAAGAAGAGATACTAAAGCAGTGGTTGGAGGAGAAGGAAAATAAACAAGAAGAGAGATTACAGCAGTGGCAACTAGAACAAGAAAGGAAACAGGAAGAAAGTCTTCAACAGTTGCAGGAAAGTCAGCAGCAACTACAGGAAAGTCAACAACAGTGGAAAGAAGTACAAATGGAAAACATTAGTAAATTTCAAAGTGAATTGAATACATTAAAGGATGATTTGTGACCGTAAGTAAAGTGCGTGAATCGTTGTTAATTTTAGTGTGTGTTTAAGTTAAAGTGACTGTGGAAATTCTGTGTATTATAAAGTTGTATCGAGAAATAATAAACTAGTTTTAATTAAGAAAGGATTTGTATCGCTGAAGGTTCTCGGAAAGAATTTTTACCAGGAAATTATCAAACAAGCAGATACGTAACATTATATAACTTATTACAACAGATAGAGAATTAATGATAATGTTAAAAATCACATTTATTTTGTTTTTAGTTTAGTGATGTAATTATTTATTTTACAGCTTGATTTAGTACTTAATAGACTAAGATATCTTGTTTCTGTATTTTTTAGTTAATTATTCATAAAAAAAGACCTAATAAATTACAGTAGTTGAAAACTGATTACATACCCAATTTTTTCACAATTTTCTTTGGAATCATTATCTACTTTGAGACCCTAATGCATGTAGGTGCAGATGGGTTTCATGGATAATGCAGTACTATCTAATTGTCATATTAGTAGCTTTACAGGCTGTCTTGGTGTTGTATCAGTCATTTTTTTGTTTTTATTGAAGGTCTGCTACAATGTGCATGTGATGGCTAAGTGTTGCGAGTTGACGCCAAGGAAAAAAAGCAGTCATTGTTTTTTCAGTAAAGAGGGACTTTTTACAAAGCAGAATGCTTGAAAAAATTAAATATAACCAGTCTTCTGTAAGCTGCTAGGTGCAAAATATAGAGATACTGGCTGTGTGGAGCGGCGGAAAGGAAGGAACAGGGAGAATAATTGTACAGCGCCTGATGACAGTGTTCTGAAACGCATATACCTTGTATTGCTTGTCGTTTTCCAGCATCGACAAAAGGTTTTTCTCGTATGACAACTGAAGCTAAACTTATGTTTGACTGAACAGCTTGTTTTCCTAATGCTAATGCTCCTTTCTTCAGAAACTGTATCCAATCAAAACAAGTTACTCAAAACGTCTCCCAATCCGTTTCTCTATTGTCATTGACTACCAGCATAATAAGATAAACTGTTTTCCACTTGGTAATCGTAATATGCATCATAGACGGCTAGTTCTTGATAGTAAGGAACACTCATGATTGCGAAGATGGAGCGTTATGATCACTCTTCCTTCTTCAACTGAGATAGGTCGACCAAAAGTTTGTTTAGAAATGTGTCTGTATTGAGGATTCGTACATTTTTCAATGATCATGTCTCCATCCTACACTTTAATTAACTTGGATGATACACATCACCAACAATGCTAGTTTCCACAATATGTGAGTAAAATCCCCCATGCATATTAACAGTATATGAAGCTATAATGGACTCTGTTATTGTGCGATTATTATTAAATCTAAGTATAACTAATAGTAGAGGATCAAGTGTTATACAGTTGATTATAGACACTGAACAGATAATTAAATACAGTGATATATTTATATGTTCCACGATGACTAAAGTAGCAAGCATTCTAGTTTTACGAGTGCATTAAATCTATCTACTATAGATGCTTTTGTTATGTGTAATAAAGAAGTGAATGTCTTGTTTCTTGAGATTATAGACACTGAACAGATAATTAAATACAGTGATATATTTATATGTTCCACGATGATTAAAGTAGCAAGCATTCTAGTTTTACGAGTGCATTAAATCTATCTACTATAGATGCTTTTGTTATGTGTAATAAAGAAGTGAATGTCTTGTTTCTTGAGATATCATTGAAAGAGATGATTAGTAAACTCTGTCCCAGCGTCGGTTTAAAGTTTACAAAGTTTTCGACTCTGTTCTAAAATTTGATTGAAAGATTTTAAAAGTGTTGCACCTTTCTTATCCTTGAGCAGAACATTTCACGTATACTTAGAAAACACGTTAATACACGTGAGTAAATACTTAAACTGATTGTTATATTGACTTAAGTTAGAGAGAGATCCACCAACTGAGCCTGTCATTGTTCATCAATCTCTGAAATGATAACTCGGTCTCTCAAAAACTTATATTTTACAGGGTTGTGTAAAGTGTATGTATCCAGTTGACTTAACCAGTCTTTAGTGTGATTTAGTGTTATGGATTTACCTAGAGCTTTCAAAAATCTAAATAAAGGTTGTACTCCACCAAAACTAGCAGGATGTGGTGTTATGATAGATAAATTGAAGGGTTTTATTAGACATTATTTCTACCCCCGTCTACTTTTATTTAAATTTTTACCATTAACTTTGTCTCTAACAGTAGTAATAATTTGACCTTTACAACAGACAATATTAATTCTTATAAAGCTTAAGTTAGTACTAAGTTTAAAAGGCTGGCAACAGCCCATGAGGACAGTCAAGAGACAAATGAATGAATAATACTTTATTTAAAATGATCCCACTTAAATACAGTACATTTAGGTCTTTTAACACATGTATCATATGTCATATACTTCCATCTGTGTATATTTGCAACAACTTCTCTAGGAATATTCATCCTGTGGGATAAAGATTCTTTCATTTTTGTAGCACGTCGTTGATTAGGTCGATTGTGTTACAATTTTGGACTGATCTTCCACTTATCATTAATTCTTCATGATCATTCCCCGCTAGATCCCCACTGGAAAGTATCAAGTTTAATAGAATTTCAGCTTTCTTTTTATATTTCTGAGGAACACTATCCATGATCTCTAAACTTTCATTTCCGTTTTAATTTTAATGGGTTACATGGTTTGTGAAGTATTGGTGCTACAAGTAATGATAAAAACCCTCCTTTCTGTTTTAGCAAGTTTCTTTTCTGTTTAACTGATATTTTCTTGACAGCCAACTTTCTCAATAAGGACTTATATTGTCTAAATTTCGGTTTTGGTATGTTTGTCATGGGCACATTATCCTTTAAAGAATTTAAAGCACATTCACAAATACTCAAGATAAATTCATTTTAGCTCTGGCGATTATTCCTTTAATCTGTTTATGTATTGCTATAGGTGATGCATGGAGCAGCTCTTGATGCTGTTTAATTCTAAGTGTGATGATGAATAAATGAAAAGAGATTGTAAGTATAACATATAAAAACGGTTTATTTATACATCCATTTAGATATAACATCTACTTTTTTCACATTACAGTGATAATAATTGTTAGTATTTTAAAAGGACAGGACAGAGTCTATTTTGAAATTGATTAACCTTGGGACATCCAAACAATTCCATATTGTAAGAAGGAAGACTTTTCAATATCTCGGCTTTCTCTCTCTCCTTTGTATAAACAGTGGTAAAGTTCTCTCTCAACAATGTAGCCATACTTCACAGGTAGGGATAGTCGACGTTACCAGATTTCCATGGAGTGAGATGAATGTGCCGCATCACCCTATTACACTGACGACGATCAGAATCTGAAAGATATTTACTCTAAAACAGTTGTTTAAACAAAAACACGCAGACATATCCAGTGACTAAACATCTGAATGCTAGTTCTTTAATTATATATGGTCCATCCTTCAGATAAAACCCTTCTAGTTCTATCACTGCAGCAGCCAGGATAATAAATGAGCATATATTCAGTTAAACAATAACTTACTTTGTTACTTACACTATAACTTTATCTTCAGGAAAACGTCCAGACCTCAGACAGATCTGTTCAGGCGTTTGTGGTTTAAAATCAATGAGTAAGTAACCATAAGGTTGTATCATTGCATTTGACATGTCATTGAAACATTTGTCTTACTAAAACATTCAACTGTGATTTGTCTCTGACATTCTTGAACAAAATAATATATTGAGAATTTAAAATAATATTATGCATTTTTCTACCCTGATGAAATAGATTCTGTGCAATATAAATCACTGATAAATTCAAATAGTGACTTCCACATTGAGACACTTGTTTATTTTCTCCACTTTCACTCATAAGATCATCAATGATAAAAAAATTCATTTATCAGGAATAGGATATATAACTTCACAATGATAATTTAAAACTTTGCTTACAAACTGTGATTTACCACTTTTGTCAGACCTGATATTAAACACATAAAAGGGAGTAGTAGACGATTATACATCTCGAACTCCAATGAGAAATAAATGAAATGGGACTCACCTTATATAGATTATGTTTGAGCACACTTGGGATTTCCCCCCAAGACCCTGCACATACCCTCTTTTCAATCCATAGACCATGGAAAGGAGTTAGTTCCATTAGATGAAAAAATCAGTATTCATATGGAAAGGTATCAAAGTCTGGAAGGATGTGTCACTTGGTGTAAATTGGATGATAATCCTTCTTTTCTTCCTTGTTGTAAATGATCAGAATCTTTAAGTGTTTTAATTCTCTACAAGTCTTCTTATTATTAGTCACCTGCCTTTCCATCATCATGTAAGTACCCATAGTTTTTTGGACCACCACTGACCCTCGATGTTACATAGTGTCCATCAGGCTTGTCTCTAAACATATGTAACATCTGTTAAAGAATATCACTCATTAATGAATGATAATACTAAGATAATAACAGATGTTACACTGATTAATGAAGAAGTAATAGCTCTTCATTGGAAACATAAACATGAATATCTGCATCAAAAAGATCAAACCAGCATCTTTTTTTGTGGTTTTCACAACAGCATGTACACTAGAAAAGTTAGGATCATATGTGTTGTATTATGATACAGACAGTATTGTAAACATTTTAAATGGATCTAGCAATCCACCTCTAGGGGATTATCTTGGTGAATAGGTTGTGATTTGTCCTCAGACATACGTCAACGTCCTCAAAAAGAATTAAAACATAATTTTGCAACTTACCTTTTTCCTGGATTAAAAACAATATTTTCAGGGATCAGTTGCACTCTTTTATTTACGTTATATTGATCAACATAAAATTGCTTTGTCTCCAATGTTATAAGGGGAGAGGACCAACCAGAACTTTCTTGCTTTAATTTAAGAAACTTATCAATATAGTTCTTAAGAAGATTTCCAGACTTGACAGGAAAACGTTAAATTTCATATATTCTTATTACCTGGTATCTGCACTCGACTGCTTTTTTTACTTCTTCTGTGATCCAGGTACCGATGATAGCTCTCTTGTCATCGTTGTGGTTACATGGTGGCCTGATTTGAATTCCACACATGATCTACATAAAGGAAAGGTTAATTTAGCATTACTTCTAAATAGTAAAACTGGAGGATATAGTTTCCTCGGGGCTATAATTTTACATTTTATAAAACCAAAATAATCATTTAAGTTAGAGAAATTTATTGTTATTATTGTAGGATGTCCAACTTGATACTCAATGTTTGCCCATGGATATAGCGATGTAAAATCCAGTTACTTGATCATTTCTCCTTCTTATATATCATATAAAAGTTTTCGTGCTGACTCTCCCTCCATAAAAAGCGTCTGGTACATCCAGGTGGGAAACTACTGTATGGTCCCTAAAGAAATTCAATTAATCTGTATCATTAGACTTCATTTTCTTAAACTCGTGCTCCCATACTGTTATGACCTTGCATCCTAGAGCTTCGAGTTGTTCCCATCTTTCTAATGTACGATTTCTAATATAGCATATGGGTCTATTTACAACTACATTCTTTGTTTCAGAGTTATAACATTTATTACAACCATGGTAATAGCACCCTTAAAACTCACAGATCGTGTTTTGTTCCATACAGAAACTGTCTACTCTATACATCAGGATTTGTTTCACACCACCTTTAGGTGCGTGAATCTTGACCCCCTCAGATTTTTATACATAACCTAACCATTGGATACTTACTTGGCAATAGTTGTTGATCGTAAAGCATTCATGATTAGGTACGAGAGCTATCAATCGTGGTGGTATACATTACCTTCTGTATAGTCATGCATACAGAAGCAGTGGTCGTGTATCTGAAGGGATCTACTTCACAGGTTGCGAGAAACTCTTCTCTGAATTGAAGACAAGCACTGTTAAAGTATATCTATGTCTGATCGGCAGTATCTAAAGAAAAAAGAAAGATTGATAAATATAACTTTCAACAAAATTTTCAAAAGAATAACAACAAAAACTTTAATAAGATCCAACATTGATAGTGTATTTTTTCTTACCTGTATATTTCTCCTTGAATGTCAAAGATGTACTCTCGTCACCGGCACCCAGCATAGGTCCTCGATATTCATGATTTGACTTTATATTGAAAAGATAAGGGAAATATCATTTCTGTAGTTCTTCTAATACAAATATTTTTGGAAACAATGATAGAGACATAAGTAAGAAATTGTAACTGTCGTTTATTCTAATTCTGAACTTTTTACGGTCATAACCATAATTTTATCCAATGCTTACGATAATGTCGGGCTTTATCCCTTGACGAATAAGATAATTCAAGATAAAATAACTGTCAAAACCTTCGCCACATGATGAAAACTGTTTGCTTACCGTTAAAACCATGGACCACAAAATAGTTTATCTCCTGAATTCCGGTTTCCTGATCTGTCTCAAAAAAAAAAAAATAAGTATTTATTCGACGAATCTTTGATATCTTTATCTTGAAGAAAACATAAATGTTTTTTTAAAACATACGATTTACATCTTACACATATGATTTTGCCACATCGATGAAATTCTGGATTACGTTTCTTTCTGTCAGTAATGACAAAACAATTTCTACACATTTCTAGATCGTACTTGAAACTGTGGTTTTGAACACGTACGTGGTGTAATTTACATTTATAATGTAGACAAAGGTCAGTCCTCAAAGATTTATGAAAAAAATGGAAACTGTTGCTATTCTATAATAATGATTAATCACATTTATTATATCAAAATTATTTACTACAGAGTTTATTAACTTATGAAAACTATATTCTGTATGTTAATTCATTCATAATATATAAAAACATTAGGTATGATAACATTTTTTCATCACAGGTAATTGTAAATTATTTGTTTCATTCAAAGGAATGTGTGATATTAATTGACATGTGTGACACTGTTATAATAGATTTATCGTTAAATAATAATTTTTCTTAGGACATTGAAGACGTAATCGTATGTTGAGACACACGAAAAACAATTTGCCTTATTAAACAATCAATATGTAGATCACCGTCCACCTTTGTAAAACATGTATAAATGAATTGTTTTGTCAAGTTATATGAATATCATAAAGTCACATCAGTGAAACAGTAAATTTTAATTATTGCATGATATTTAAATAAACATCTTTTTCTGAATGTTTTACATATAAATTGTCAGGAAGTGTAATTAAATATAGAACTAATGAATTAGTGTTAAACATCCTTTTTAGGACGATTTTTATATAAATGGTCAGGAAATGTGAAGAACTAATGAATTAGTGTTTTATACCAACTGTATTAAATATAGTCATGTTGATCAAATTTGTGCTGGTTCAAGTATGGAAGTATGACGTCATGGCCGCATTTCTGGCGGCCAAGCAACGCGTCCCTAACAATGCGTCATCTGGTGCAATGTTTTGGAACTATGACATCCTCCTCTTTTGTGACATCATCGTTTCTCCCCTTCCGACCCCAGGTCGGCACACTGTAGCGCTCTCTGGCGGCGTGCCGTGTGTTTCTCCCACTATCTATTAAATGTAAACGAATATTAACTTTCTAAATGATTTTTGTTAGTTTGATACACGTCTTACACACTATCAACAACTTTGACTAAAGAAGGGTATAAATTATATTTAGTTGATACACATCACTAATATTAGTATCCAAACTTAGCATAGTTAAGACCCAAATATCATTTTTGTGGACTGATTTCACGCTTGGTACTAGTTAAAAAACATGAGTGGTCCCTCTGCGGTAAAAAGACCAAACAAAGTTCTGTTCTATGCGTTTTATTTTGTCTTAACCATCAAATTTCTATAAGTATGCAAAAGTGCGTCTCTTAAAATCTAAGCCCCTGAAAGCTCAAAGGGTTCAGAACTGCCTCTCCTCGAAATTAAGTGCTTCCTAGCCAGCAAGGTTCATAGGCAATACAATGAAGTAGATTAATTCTACCATAATATTTGTTAATTTCTTACTATGCAATTTTACTCGAAAAATAAAGTTTTATTCTAAAATCACCAATGTTCATCTACATATGACAATAACTATCACATCAGGGCCTTACTAAACAAATTATCTATTGAAATTGTGATATTTAATGCAACTTCAAGGGCATCTCTAAAGAAATGCCCACTTTAGTTGAAGGCTAAATTTGAAAGTATAAAGAGAGTTTTTTTTTAAGTGTCGTAACAGGTCTTATCTTTTAAAATGACCAAATAATTTTAAATGGACTTGTGATCTTTGAATAGGTAGGGAATGTACGCTTAAAACTACATTATGTTTAAATGATTTTGGAGCCTTATCACGACGTTATAATCCATGTCGCTATGTCCGGTGTTACGTATTACAATTTCGAATGGTCTGAAACCGTGCTAAATGATAACTTAAATTTAGTAGTTAAATAAATGACGATATATCTCTAGGTTATGATCTTTGCCAACAAGATTGATACACACAGTTTTTTTGTTTGTTTTATACAAATATGTTTTAATACGCAAACAATAATACAATTTACAATAACAGTAATTACAAATAGATATTATAAATAATGATTTATATACAAAAGTGTTACAAACTTACAAGCAATATAAAGTCTTCTTTCTAGTTTGGAACTTCCTTGGTGTCTTATCGAGGGTTCACGATGACGGAGTTAATTTTGAGTTGATGTAGGTACAATTCACTTAATAGGGAGCTAGCTGGCTCTGTGTTAGGTAATGTTTTCGTAAATTTATTAATGTCCCATGTGAATTCACTAAAGTTGAATGATTTGTAATGTTCGAAATTTATGAACGTTTCTGATGAATATATCTGAAGTTCCCGATTAATAAGCGTTAATCACAGTTATAGCTTACGAAGTATATACCACACCAATTACCGCAACCCAATAATAGATAATATTTTTTGGTTATATTTATAGGCGTGAAGAGAGTTTCTCAAAATTTCAGTTTTACGTAACAATACTGACGCTAACACTAGCGTTTACATACACACATATATTGTTGATTCTTACACTTGAGAAT